AGGAAAAATCTGAAACATAAAGTTTAAAGGAAAAGTTGTTAAAGAATTTTTAAGAAAGTATTCCTACTATTTGCTATCTCATTAACAATTACTATTATTCGTTTTTTTAGAAATGTAAAACTCGCTATTGTTACAATTTAATAAGAAAGTGTTCCTAATGATATAATTAGAGAATCAATTTTAGATCCGAATAAAATAAAAGAAAAAAATAAATTAAAGTTACAAATTTAATTTCATTATAAGTCGTAAATTATTTATATTTCTTAGATTAAACAGAAAAACATGATATATAGTATGTTTATATATTTCGATTCAAACAGCAATGAATTGTATCAATCAATAAATAATGAAGACCAAATATTAATATGTTTTATGATTAATGCATTTCTTTATTGCCTCCAGCAAGTCGCGTCTATCTCTTTCGTACTCAATACCGATCTTTATCAAATCTTCATCCGTAAGTGTTATAAATAAGCCAAAGTCTACTTAAAATAAAATAAAATAAATCATATATATATTTAAAAAGTATACCACTCAACACATTATGTATATTAATTATAATTGAAAAAGAAACACTATCGCTCGTATACTTTTTAATAATTCTAATACACATTCTTTCAACATACTTCCTGTTCAAGAAATATAGGGATGTGTTGTGTGGCACAGTCTGAAGCGATTCAGTACCATGATCATTTTCGTCTGTGGCCAATTCAAAAGTATTAATCCCCTTCGGTGGCGTTTTGCAGCGCGGTGGTATTGGGGTATTTTTGACAAATACATTCTCCTTGTTAACGTCCGCGGACCCGTTGGGCGATTTGATATTTCAGGGTTGAATTCGAGCGTGAATTCCAAAGTGATGTTAAAATTGCATGAGAGATTTTTTGGGTGCATTCAGAACGACAACCACTCACTGAGCGCTTAGTGAGCTCTTTCATCTGATTGGCATATTCCGTTAGATCCTAAAATATAGACCAATATACTGAATGTCTGAATGCACCCTTTAAGTCGAGATCTATAGATCGTACTGACTGCAATCTATAAGAACCGAATTTATTCCATTAAATATTATCTTAAAATGTTTAAATATATTAAATATACCTATGTCTAAGGGTGCTGTCTCATGATAGTCGGATTTCAGAAAACAGAATCCGAAATTCCGACTGTCATGGGACAGCACCCTAAGAAATATTATTTTAACGGACATTTATTTAATAATAATAAATAAAATAAACGCTCGAAAGTTTGCACAGCAAAACAATATATATCAAAAACGACCAGTAACGAGCATAATCAGATTTTTAATTAAAATATATTTAAAATAAGGACAATATAATAAATACGTTTCGACTTCACAGAGCTTTCATTAGTTTTATAATGTAATTTACGTCTTATATACTAACGCATAATCTAACCATTCTATGTCATCCGCCAGATAGCAGTCAATAACCAATAACGTAGGTTAAAACGTTAAAAAAAACTTTTTCCAAACGTTTTTTTCCCTATTGGGATAAGTTAAATTTGGTGATATTCTGCTACTTCGTTTGTCAGATTCCACTGCAGGAAATTGTAACAAATGCAGCTTGGGTTTTTCCCATTTATTCTCGTCATCATTTGAAATAGAAAAATCTTTTATCGTATTATTGATATTTTGTTTACTTATGATTTCGATGTTATCTGATATATCATTCCAATAATCATCTATGATCAGTTCTTTGTTCGCTAGAGCGACTATTTCCAGTACCGTGGAACGCTTCATATCTTTCTTTTTTGATCTTTAGTTTTGTGTGCAACAGTATTCTGAGTAGAATAATCTCGATTATTACCTATAATCAATGCAAATTTCTTGTCTCTTTTGAATGGTGGAAAAAATTAAAGTTAATGAATATCCAGGTAAATATGTAGTTTATGGGAGCCCCCTCTTGAATGACCTTGACCTTGACATATGTTGTCAAAGTCATGACCCTGAGTGACTTTGAGAAAGTTTTAACCGTCGAACGTTACTCGTTGGGTTTTCGACAATAAGTCGATCATGAATTAATGTATTAGAAATTTTTAATAATTGTGATGTCTAAAAAATTCAATGAGTCGCTATCCTCTTCTAAAGTCAATCTTAGGTCGGTATTCATGGTCAGATCTTATTTCAAGACCGTCTTAAGTAATGTCTTAATACGCTAATGCGGCCCTTTGATTGATTCGTGACATCTCAAGACTGAACTTAAGACGGTTTTGAATATAAGAACTGACTCTGAATACCGGCCTTAGTCTTGGATGATAGGAATTAAAACATCAACAAATTCATGAATGTAGTTTTTATTGATTGTAAGGGCGATGTCACGTAGCGAAAGAAGGAAGACAGAAAGACAAAGACAATTTTTTAAGAGAGAGAACATTTCTCTCTAAATCTTCCATAATTACGTTCGATACTATTGGTGACATAAAGAACCCATTGGAACACCAAAGGTTTGTTTATGAATTTTATCGTTAAAGATGAAAAAAGTGGAATCTAACACTAATTTAATCACCTTAATAAATTCTCCCATATGTAAAATTATTTCTTTTTGTATAAGATGCCACTTGTTTCTAATACCTTCCAATAGTAAATCTATTTATAGGCACATTACTGAATAATGATACCGCGATTCAAGAGAAAAAAAGTATGTCATTTTCATTAATCTTAAGTTTAGCAATACTTTCAGTGAACTGAAAACTATTGCATTTAAAACTATAATCAGCTGGCGATATACTTTTATTTCAAATTTTGTGAAGACATGAAGCTAATCTGTGTAACAAATACTTATATGAAGGATACAATAATACGAAGTGGATAATCCACCTTGCTTATCTTAATATTGATGTTTATCTTAATATTGATGAAAACTTCCTAAACTACTAGATACGACTGGATTGACAGAGTCGAAGTACTTATAATTAGAATCAGAAATGATATTTCCACCTCTTAAGTATGATCTTAAATTCAGTAATCAATTTATTTACTGGATTGTAAATAATATTCATGTAAGTGCAGTTTTTATCTCTCATTAATGATTCCATCTTACATATACAATAGATAAGTAATCGTGTTTGTCTACGATTACGTCTATAAGATGGAATCTTTACTGCATGTCTAAAGACAGAGCGATTACGTATCTTTATTCTCTTAAAAAATTATCTTTCTACTTTCGCAAAGTTGATGACATCGCTCTTGCAATCAATAAAAACTATATTTGTGAACTTGTTAATGTTTCTAATTCCTATCATCCAAGATAATAAAGGTTCACTTTAGAAGCGGATGGAGACATTGAATTTTTTAGACATCACAATTATTAAAAATTGTAACATATTAATTTATGACTTATATCGAAAACCTATCTTTTCAGAACGTTTCCTTAATTATTTTTCTTATCACCCACTTTGCCAAAAAATTGGAGTTACAATAGGCTTAGTCGATCCAGTGCTTCTGTTAGCTCATCCAAAATTCCATTTAAAAGCTCTCGAAGTTATAAAAATTTTATGAAAAAATGGATATGCGTTAACTTTAATTTCTTCCATCATTTAAAAAAGACTTCATAAGAAATAGTATTGATTAATATGTTTCATATTCATTAATCCTATTATAAGTTTAGCAATACTTTTAGTGAATTGAAAACTATTGCATTTAAAACTATAATCAGCTGGCGGTATACTTTTATTTCAAATTTTGTGAAGAGATGCAGCTATAATCTGTGTAACAAATACTTATATGAAAGATACAATAATGCGAAGTGGATCAAGATTATTCTACTCAGAATACTGTTAGAGTAAAGATCAGAAAAGAAATCACTTTTTTACAGTATCATTTATAGCTAACATTTCGGAAAAAATAAAGAACTTTTTTAAGTGTTACTTGTTTGTACGCATACATAGCATACACATGGTTGAACAAACTATGGTAAGTTTATAAAAGTACAAAAAGACAAATTCGCCATGGATGTCCTACGTACTGATGTAGTATATCCATTGAGTAGTGCTATAGTTAAAAAGATAAAAGTTAAGTTAAAAAGTTAAAAAGTTAATTAATTTTAATTTAACTTAGGTACATTTATATGTATAGACTCTTAACTTTTTAACTTAATTTAGTTACATTTTAGTGGTAACTGTTAATTTTTAGTTTGATTTTTTTTAAGTCAATCCTCAGACACAATGCGAAAGGATAATGAATATATAACTTAGTAATTTTATATTGTATAATCGTCACTTACTGTGAACAAAAATAATCAGATTCTTTAATAAATATACTGTGAGAAAAAAGAAAAATATGAAAAATGGTCAAATTTTTTCTTTTTCTTTTTTTTTGTTGTTCGTTCGGACCAAATTTAACTTTTAATTTTTCAATCACTTTTTTTATTAATTTAACATCTAATTCAATTAATTTCATTATGGATTCACTTGTATTTTAATTAAGTTAAGTTTTCAAGACTGTTAACTTTAACTTAACTTAGTTAAAAAAAAAAGGTAACTTACCCAACCCTGAGTATATTGAATTGATTGCAAGGATTGTGATGCATTGTATGTACCAAATGAATATAACGTTAAAAACTAGAATCAACGACTACAGGAATCACTTAATAAGGAATAAATTAATTGGAATACAAAGCAGCATAAATTAGAATAGCTTAGAATTAGCAGCACTCTGTAATTACTATGAACATGGACTGGAATTATTACATGAATTTGACTAGGATAATATGAAATTTCTAGATAAAGAAAGTGTTTTAAATAAGCGATTATTATCGGAAATGATTTTTATTCATAAACCAAAAATAGCTTGAATGTACAAAATAACACAGAATTTTTAGATCCTTTAAATGCTTCTTTAATTTAAGAGACTTGATGTTTCCCCCTCTGAAACAAAAATTTATCTATTCGTCTTTATGTATTATTGACATATACTATATAATCTCATTTGAACTATATATATATATATATATACGATAAGCGTACTAGTCATAGCAAGAACATCGCAAGGCACGTCCATTCACGATCTTCCTGTAAGTTCTTAATTATTTATATTGTACCATTATATTTTTAGCAATACAAACTTTAATTGCATTACCATTTCTGTAGTATAAATTTGAAAGTTTAATAGGCATCCTTTGCAGAATTATGGCAAGAATTGTGATCATAAAATTAACATTAAATCACTATGCATAATTATATATGACCACCAAACAATCTTTATAATCGACACATAATTTATTGACTGAACTGTTAACGTTATTCTCTTTGTTATATATAGAAATCTCACTTTTTAAATTTTAACGTAATTACTGAAGAGGATCTCAACCATGGGTCGAAACGTTTAACCTTTAATTATATCAAATATTATTAAATTTTAATTGCAACAATAACCTGCGTCGGTTCTTAGAGGCTTCTTATTTATTATTGATTTATGTTCAGTAGAGACTAAACAATTTATGAAATTAAAAATTTTAAATTACTTAAATTTGCAAAACCCTGTCATTTTTTTAGAACGTTTTAATTGCAAAGAATTAAATACCAATTAATTTTACATTCTAATTATGTAAATTAAAGCTAAGAAAAAGCTAATGAAAGTATCGGCACAGTTGTCAGGCGCAATAAAAATCTCTTAACGTACCTTAATAAATACAATTAAAATTGTTTATTTAACTTGTTCGAATTACAAATATGCATACCACTCTCTTTTCAAGGTCAACTTCTGGATTTCTACGTCCAAAAGAGAGTGAAAGGCATATCAATTGTAAGTAACTTAAATTTTCATTGAGGAAGACTCCAAACGGAGTCGAAATGTTCGAACAAGTTAAAAAACAATTTCAATTGTATATATTAAAATATGTTATGAGTTTTTTATTGCGCCTGACAACTGCATCGGCGTTCTCATTAGTCCTTTTAAGATTTAACTGTTATTCGGAGAGCTATTACTAAATTTTATTTAGTCATATAAAAATAGATTTTTTGTTACTATTATAGCGCAATTGATGAATCACAATATATCACTCATTGTTATTTTATCATATTATTTAGATTAATCTGTTTTCAGTAAATTTATAAAAATATCAAATAACATTCTCTCTATCTTTATTTCATACAAATTTCGTATTCCATTGTAGAACGATTTGATTTTCTACATAGTCCGATAAAAGTTATAATTATGGGCTTCTTCAACGTCACTATACCTCCAAAAGATAGTCTCTGCTACGTGGTCTGCGAGATCAAGAAGTCTGAAAACGATCAGTACTCCACATATTTCAGGGTCAGGCTTAATTGTAGGTATGTATCGATTATATTATCGTTGTAGCACATTGTTCTATCAACTCCGTTGACACATTTTGTGGATTAATTAATGTCAAAGTCCTGAAAGTCAATACTTGGATTTGATGAGTTCGCGTCGGTTTTAAAAAGAAAATATCGGTTTTTCAGGAAATTACTTGAAACAACTCCTCAAGCGATGGCTGTTCCGACAGATAATGGTGGTCTGTACGTTATCGTAACAAAGGAATTTTTGGAAAACGATACCTTCTGGGAAAATTGCAACACCCTCGATATACAGATAGTATGTGTCCGTAGAGACTGTACAATAAAAAGTACATATGTGTGTGTGTGGATTATGCGGTGTTTGTATAATTCTTATCTTGTTCACCTTATATACTGCAGCACACTTTTATTCCAAAGATCTTTCTGAGAACATCCTTTGGCTGTTGGAACGTTTTTAGAACGTTCTGTAAAACGTCCCTTGGAGATCTGTATTATACAAGTATATGTTAATATAAACATCAGTATGGTGTGGATTTAACGACATGGATATAGATTCACTTTAGCGAAAATAAAAATCGTAAATCGAATATAAGGGGTGAGTTAATAAAAGCAAAAACAACTTTTCTTCCACTCTGTTTTTACATTCGACTTATTTATTTTCACCGGAGCAACACCATGACTATACAGAGCTAATACAATCTTAAAGATATCCAAATTAAGGATGTTTTTACGTTTTTTGAGAGTCCGAAGAACATTTCCAGGCTGCCTATCAGATAAAGTATGCCGTATGGAATGGTTTCAAACTTATGGTGTTAATTCCACTCTATGTTGGTGTTTATGTATATCAACCTCAATACAGTCAAAATTAAATATATTTAACACTCATATGTTAAATCTACATGGTGTTGGTGTATGTACATCAAGTGAAAATTAGATTCAATACTCCCGATGTTATCCACACCCACATTTTTAAAAATATAATTTTGTTCTCTTTTCTGAAGACACGGTATTGTCTCAGAACTAAGACATGGTCGAAATGAATCTCTTGTATGAAATCAAAGTTGTTAGTTGATATTGACATGCGAATGTTGCAGATAAATCTACGCTACTTGTTGCCGAATGACATTTACGAGAAGTGTCTACTTTACACCATCGAATATAGGCTGGCACCTCATTGGAACAAGGTCGAGTCATACCTCGTTGAGGGACAAGATTTTCTTAGCTCGTCGGGAAGTGTCAATGCGATCAAGTTGAAAATCAATGATATTCGCGGTATAATCACTGATTTTACAGATAACATCATTTATAGATATGCCGTTTTTACATATGTACAGATGAGACATGCAAACATTTTCTTTAGCACAAAATATAATTCACTCTTTTAGGATGAATTGTCACCCTGAAGAGTGAAATCTCGACCTTTAAAGATTGAAAATGTTGAAACTGTCCCACTCTTCTTCAAGACTGGCTCAATTTTCACTCTTTAGAATGAGATTTCACTCTAAAGAATTTAGCTATAAAAGAATAATTTAGATTGGCTAAATAGATAACTGTAAATTGATAAATATTGCAGATAATAGCGCTCAATTTTGTGTGACGGCTGTAAATCTCAAAATTCCATTCCTAAGATTAAGTAACCAACGTGCAACGACTTCATCAGTATATGTTCTGCCAAAGTAAGAGATAATGTGAAAGTTTTGTTATTACTAATGTAAATTGTTTTATGTAAATTATTATACAATTATTATACAATTAACCATATAAATGTAGTTATTGCGTGATAGTATAATATCATGAATATTTATTCATAGGACGACATGGGCAACCGTGTTGAGCCAATCGGAAGAAATTGCGGAAAACCAATCGGAAAACCATTTCAGAGATTACGAGGATTTGCGCGCATATTGGAAAAATATGGTGAGAATTTATTTATAACTTCCCAGTAAGTAAAACACATCTCGAAACATTTTAGCAACATTGCAACAACGTTGTAACATCCCTGCAATGTTACTGTAATGTTTCAAGATGTTTCTTGCTTACTGGGTTATTAAAATTAATATTGCTCAATCTCAATTTTATTGATTTTGTATCATATATTATTCTTGCGCTAAAATAAAAATTAATTATACCCAAAGAGTAATTGATTTTTCGGAAATAAATTCGATAGGATTATTTTTTAATATTATTAATTGCCAAGTATAATTATGAACAATTGTTTTCTTTATTTTAGCATGGCTACATATTGCCAGAACACGAGGAAGGACTCTTATATTACATTGTCGAATTCTACTCTGGGTCGTCCATTCTCTTATATCCTGAAACATGCTTAATATCAAATGGAATATGTTGGTCTGTGATGGATATAGATCCTAAAATTTACAATAGATTTAGAGAAGGCTTAATGAAAATAGTATTATGCGGACAGCAGTTGGATGTACGCACGGAATAGAAACTCGAAAAAGTGGCCAAAACTCAGCTATTTTATATTAATAAAGTCTCTTATCGCTATCTACACATATTAAAGTAGTTAAAATAAAAATTCATGTTATAAATATTAATTACAGATTGAAATATGCGGTATTGTAACCTTTGCTTGCAGTAAATTAACATGAATTTGTCTATTATAGATATAGTGTTATATATACGTTAGTGAAATTTCTTATCAGTATCTCATATATACATATATATATATATATATA